CATACATCAACAGGAGAATGATTATGAAGTAACACTGCTTTATTTAACATTGAGAGGAGATGGTAATAATTGCAGCACTTAAGATGAAACAATGGAGCGTTTGTTACCCGATGCTATCAATAGTATTTATCGCGATTGTAGGGAAGTAAACGTGATGGCATTTTATAAACCTGCTGACTAGAAGGGTTCCACATCCAGGTTACAGCTGTATCAAGAACTAAAGGCTAGCGATCACGGTTGATCCAAGCAGACAGGGAGCGTGTCTGTTAATGCTTGTTAGTAAGCGCTCTAAAAAGCTGATTGAATTCACTTCTGGCAGTAATCTCCACAGTTACTGTTCTAGCTTATAGAATGTGATCGTATATATGTCCAGATCTGTCTCATCATAATCGATTTTAGATCCTATATCAGCTTTTTACCAATCAAGTGCCTGCACACTTGATGCAATGTTTAGAAATGTAAATCTCGCCAAAATATGTTCATATCTGCAGCCAACCATACTTTCAAGTCAGATAGTGCAAAGTTCTCATCCTTGGAAAGGTCGTAAGTGTACCACTGTAAAGAATAAAGTACGTGATCCATTAAAAATTTTGGTTCAACATCTTTTAATCGAGATAATCCATTTTTGTGAGCTATCACATCAGCATTACATTTCTGAAATACAACGCAGTGCGCATGATCTGCCATTTGTAAGACCTTGTTGTCATGCGATGCTTGTAACCATAAGAGCATTCATTTGCTGTATGTGAAATTGCTCAGGCACAAAAAATACTTCAGATAATGACCGTTTGTTCGTGTGCTGTGTTGACATCTTTGATGAGCTTCTTTGTCAGTTTTTTATCCAATACACATAATTGAGTGTTCAAAATGTAGTACTCATTATCAGAAACAATGACAAACACGCGGCTCATCAACTCGAAGTCTTCATTTTTACGGACAAACTGCACAGTACCGATACATGACTCGTGTTTTCGGTTAAAATTCTTTGTGTGATAGTATAAGTGGTTGTTGATCAGATTGTATCCGCTCTCCTTGAGCTGACAATAAACTGTAAACCCTTTTTGAAAAACCCTACTGTTACGTGTGCTGATATATGCTCTCGATGTTAACAGAGGATGATGCATTATGATATGCTTCTTCTTTAGATACAATATTTCTTCCATGGAAAAATACCATGCACTGCCTATTTTGATCCCAAAATGTCTTAATTCGTTTTTCCACTGATTGATTGTGTAGAGCGTAGCCATCTGATTAGAGGGACGAAAAGTATTTTTTTCAGACTGATTGAGATTTCTTGATGAGGTCTAATGAGACAATCAGTTAGAGACAGAATAAACATGTTAGCGAACTCTTAACCAATTAGAAACATGAACAGATACTATTTTTAAATAATGACAGAAGTATTTATACGGGAGCAAGTACGGACATATTTTTTGCAGTTTAAATCGGCGTGTTGGCGGGGAAATGAGGCGATACATCACATATTATACCTATGTCTGTAGTATGTTAATGTGCTACCAATAAGTAGGAAGCCTTAAACAATACAATTCACAATCTATTTACGTCAAAAAGGCAAAACTATCTTGCTCCGAACCGCCCTTTCATCTGAATAAAACAGAGCATTGGTACGATAAATACTATTTGCTCGGAATTTTTGTCCATAAACTGGACACTTTTCATTTTGAAAATAGTAGATCATCTAAGAAATTGGTTCCATGCACAGACTCCTTCTTTGCACCACGAAAGATGTTAGAGAAAAATGCAACTCAAGTTACACTATTTGAAACACGATGGATGATCAATGCCATCGTCCATGCATCGTAAAACAACGAAAATATACCAACACAGTGGCAGATTTAATACCTTTATGACGGTAAGTAAGGTGATTTTTTGCTATAAACGTATCATTGCTGGTGTATAGGCGTTTGATAATCATTAACAGTGTTGAACATTCTAACCCTAATAAGGACACCATGGATACTGAACGATAAACAAAAGTGCAAACATTCAGATGCATTACGAGAGGATAAAAACTCACTAATTTTCTTCTGATGCCAACATCTTACAACTGTCTTGCTCTTTGTTCTAATTGGATGTTTTTCTGGAACAAGGTGTTATCTGCTTGACACACATAATTCGTCTTTTTCTGCTGCATATAAGTTTTTGAAGAACTTTCTGCACATTTTCATTTGGAATGACTCGGAAAAAAGTGTCTATACGTTATCGATCGAGTTATTATCCGACCAGAAGAGTTGCGATAGCGCTATGCAGACGATATTAATGCTACCGATTTATCACAGGACACACGCAGATTAACAAAAACGCATTGATATTAATTGCAACGACTGAGATACTAAAGAGCGAGCAGTATAAGAATGTTTTAGAT